CACTTCGGAGTCGCCCACCTCAAGATCCATCTGGGCACAACATGTGTATTAGGTACCTTTCAAAATTGCTACATTTTGTTGAGGTTTATTTGAAACAGGGTGTCAAATACCAAGTACATTATTGGACTGGACATTACATTCCACAAATGAGGCGCAAACTTGGCTGGATCACTTTATGGAAATGATGGAAGAGTTCAATAAATTGAGTGAGCTTTAAAGAGTATCATATTGGGAGGAGTCAAACAAAGAACCAAAAGTATATTTAAGATGTGACACATCTTTTGATGTATTTTAGATTGTAATAGATATATTTTATTAATTTATTGTCATCAACGATGTGATTCCTATACGATTTAATAGACATGTAATGTATATTCAATAGTGATGGTGGTTCTGTTTACAATTTTTTGATTTTCACAAGTTTTATTTCTATTTAAATATGTTATGTTTTTGTTGGAGGTGAAAAAAATACACAAGAAAGGGAGGTTGAATTGTATTTTCAGTTTTCTTAGTTTGCATCTGATAGGAGTTCAGAATCTAAACTGGTGTTCAGATTCTGGTTAATTCTTAGCAGCAGAACGTTAACAGAAGCAAATAAATAATAGCAGAAAACACAAAGATTCATATTGGTTCCTCCTAAACTAAGAGTAGCCCAGTCCCCTTGATTCACAAGAGATTTTCGCTATAACCAAATCATGATTATAATCGCTTATGCAATATATGCATAAGACTTTTACAATTGCTTAGACTCAAGGTCCAAGACTTCTTACTCAAGCTTCTCACTCGAGACTTCTTGCTGTCGTACCCCAAATTTGTCATACCCTTCCATTAAAATCTATATGACTTACACATCTCATATTCCTCATGTACATACCCTCAATTAGGTCATGCATTTAACATATCATTCATCGCATTTTGTATAGCACAATCATTAGATTAAGGTTCCATAATAGTGGATTTGATCGGTTCAAGTGGGTTTTCAAGGTGGATCTTATTTGGTAATTATTCGAGCTTATTTCTCATATTGGTGCGGTCATCTCTTTATTTGAGATTCATGGTTAGTTAAAAGATTTGACTGATAGTCATTCAATTCAAAAGTTTGCTTAAATTCAAAGAAAATAGGCAAGTTGGAATAAAAAGGATATTTCATTCATTTATTGGAAATTCATGGTACAATGATTATTACTTGAGATACAAGTTGAAAGAATGTATTACAAGGAAAGAGAATAAAAAATTACATCAATTTGGTAAAGTTGACTTTTTGGTTAATTGTTGACTTTTTGGTCACCGATTGACGTTTTGGTCAACTATTGACTTTCGGTCAACTTTTGACCATTGGCTCGATTTTTATTCCCGAATTTTCCTAGACCACTCCCCAAAAGCAATTAAGTTCACAGTATGATTCATCAAAAAGGCATGGAAAAAATGGTCAAAATCCAAGTAAAATCAAAGTCAATTCAAGTCAATTTTAAGTTCTAACCAAATGACCATTCACCTTATCCCGAAACTTGGTACTTATGATAAACTAAAACATGTATTGCTTCCAAGTACCTATTTTAACATAAAACTATACATTTACCCATTTACCGTTAACCCCTCTAGCTAACTTTAACTTTCTTAAAGTTCACAAATTAACACAAAACCAAACTACTTTTTCATCAAACCTCAACCATTGATAACAATTAATCTAACGGCTAAGATTCGTGATTCGAAACTAACATTTGGATTAATTTCTAACCGTTGATAAAATAATGACTTTGATCACAATCGAATGAACCACAATTAACCAAAAAGTTTATATAAACCTTCTTTTTCTCAATTTTTGGGGTTAACCACTTTGAACCATTTTTCCACCATTTTTGTTTCTAACCTCTAACTTTTCTGTCAACCTTTTCACCATTTCCATAACCTCCATCAAATTTCATCACCATCACCATCTAGAATTTCACATTGAAATTTTAGATTTGGTGGAACTTAACCAGAAACGTTCAACAATTCAAGGTTCATCATCACTCAACAATTCAAGTATTCATCAATTTTCAACAATTTCATCAAGATTCAAACATGAATCACTTTTCTATCATCTCCTAATTTTCATTTTCTAGTCATCAATTCTTGGAAGCAAATTGGAGCTTGATCTGATCTGATCAAAAGGGGACCACTGACTTGCCACGCGCCAATGATCTGCTGCCTGTTCACCGGTGTTGAAGAGGAGGAAGGGGTGTACCTGCAAGGCACTCCGATGCCAAAGTAAGAGTTTGGACAGAGTGACAACAAATACATAAAAGGGGTAAGAAGAGAATACCTGGCCCTCTTGGAGAAGATGATATTTATATAGAGACCCCAGCGTAGGGCCAACGATCATTTGAGTTGGGCTGGATGGCCGGGCCCAACCCAAGTGACCGCTAGGGATTACTTGGCGTAATGAAGACCAGAACGTGGTCTTCGCCCTAGTTCAACTGCTTCGTGAACTCCAGAAAGTGGGTTGACCTGTTCTTTCGGAGATGGGCAGTTGGTGGATGACGTGTCCCCGTGGAGTGAAGCACGTGGAGAACGTGTGAAGGACACGTCGTTCTGCTCGACAAGGGAGAAGGTTCTGCCCGTGGAGGGGCAATGTCTGCCCTACGAGGACGATGTGCCCGACGGTGAGGGCCAAGATGGATTGGGCCTGACTAAGTATCATTGGGCTGGGCCTGCCCAGTCAAGCCGGGGCCTAGGCCAGAACAATTATCATCCAAAAGTTTCAAAATTTGTTGCATTTCGAATCTTAGACCTCTTATCGCCATGTTGTTTCGATAACACGCATTGTATACTTACTTGATATTCGAAACACTTTCAGGTCTTTCCATTTCAAATCTGCAAGTATATTTTTCGGCGTCACCCTGATTGAAGATATCTCTGAAACAATTTCCTTCTCCTACAGTTTAAGGCGACATACGATGGATTCACCGACTAGCTGGGTTTGCAAGGCATGATTATGTATACCAAAAACCACATTAAATTTTCATGTATCATTCATCTTATAGTATCCGCGTAATTTAAACGGACACACACATTTTCTTGATCTGGTTTCGTCACGGTTCAACTTCAGAATTGGTGGAACGTATATTCCACTTCTCTCACATCCCATGGTTGTAGATGATTGTCTTTTATTAGCACCATTGTTAGACCTTCTGATTACAATGTCAAACCCCAATTTCTCTGGCCTCAATGAGGACCCATTAAAGCATATGTTCATGAGTAGTAAACATATGTTTATTTCTAAATTGTTGACCAACATCTATCTCCACAACAATCAATTTAGCATCCGGTTTAACATCATCCTTCACCTCATCCTGTTTAACATCATCCTTCACTTTCCGGTTTTACATCATTACTCACAGCAGTTTTGAAAAACATATACGAGTGTACCATATCTAATAGGAACCAAACCAGAAAAAAGGTTTAAAAAACTCACAATAACAAGAAAATCCGGATGTGCATATTTGAAACATGAAAGGTGGAATTTAGAGATGCACATCCCGACTCAACGTACAATTTTTTAAGCTCAAGAACAAGATTAAAGCAAGCAATGAGGGATGAAATGAGTGAACTTTACCTTAAATTGCAGTTTCTTTTGCTCCCTTAAATTGGAGTTGATTAAGAATGATTTTTTTTTGGCTTATGGAGGTGGTATGACAACATGAGAGAGATGATCATGCAATGTGGTAATATATTCAATTTTCTGCTTGATATTTTTGGAAATGCATCTTCAAAAATGTCACCAAATGATTAAATAAATCAGCTCAGTGAAAAACACATAGTAAATGTTACTCATAGAAATTATCAAAAATGCATCTCCGAATATACCCCATTAAATTTTCACAGATGTATCTCCAGACTAATTTTTTAACAAAAAAAAAGAGTCGGTGCTTGATTTACAAAGGATGAAGTGATTTATGATGCATCTAGAAATACATCTCCAAAAACAAATGAGATTTCATAGGTTTGAACCACCTAATTGTGGAAAAAGAAATTCCCAATTTCAGCTATCCATTGAGGAATTGATTGAAGCCCTTTAATACCTACAATGGCCATATATGTGACTTGTCTAACTCAATTCAATTCAGTTTGATCTCTTATGATCGAATAAAAAAGTTCCGTTCGATTTGATTTGTTGTTAAGTTTTCCTAATTTATGTTCTTATTAACTAATGCTAGTGTCATATTGGAGATGCAATGCTTTACATAATGTTCTAAAGGAATGTGCTAAAGAATTTTGTCTGGCTTCCACTAAATATATTTGACAACAATGAGTAATTATTTTTATTGAATCAAACATCCAGTGATTGATAACAAACCAAGAAAACTTGCATAAACTCACTGCTCATGGTAGATGAAATATGAATTGCACTAGCATATTTAGCTTCACATCATATGTATTTTGCTTCTGCAAAATGGCAAAATCTAAAACTTTACATTTATTCTACCGTAGAAAATAAATTTTGTTTAAATTATTATTTGGTACTTAAAAATGTTTAAAATTAAACTCCTACATTCCATCGACACATTTTGATTTTTCAAAGGTCATTCATTGCGTTAGGTTCTATACTTTCATTTTAAAATTTGAATTCTTGAGTATTATCTGTCAACTTATTATGCTCATCAATTTCTCTCTGCCTGAGGTAATCTCCATTGAAGATTCAAACCTTTAAACACACAATACAAAATATTGCAAGTTTTTCTATTACCAGGCCTATACACAACACAATGCACCCACATACATTCTTCAAAACACGAGATACTCACATACATGCTTCAAAACCGCAAGTCAAGATACTCGCTGCATGTTCATGTAACTGCATGTTTTGTGCAGCTTTGTGGTGCATGCAGTTAACTGAATCATAATCCTCAACAACATTCAACAAATTTGTACAACATTCAACATAATCCTCAGAATTAAGTATCATTCAAATTTAACAAAATTTGCAGGACATTCAACATAATCCTCAACAACGATCGTCACCAACATTTACACTTCTTATGATACATCACAGTCTCATACAAATCATCATAATCCTCAATCGAATCATCACCGCCGTCTTCATTCCCATATACTCTATCAGAATTCTGATGTACAACCATTACGCGCCTACAAACGCGCCTACAGTTTGTAGAGGAAATTTGGAAAAACTTTTTGTAAAAGCGGATTAAATCCTCCTCTATATCTTTCAATTTATCAACCGCCATCATGTCGGTATAGAATTTGCAGCTGAAAATCATTTTAAATATCACTTTCTTCAGCAAAAGATAATTTTTAAGCAAATAAAAGATGATTTTTAAGCAAAAAAGATAATTTTAAATACCTATACTTAATTATAGCTGTCCAAAATTCTTCAGTTTCCTTTTCGAGAGAAGGATCCATTGATAGAGTCTTTATCAAGCTATTTTTGTAGTTTTGAAACACTTCATTGTCCAAGTCTCTCTGTAATAAACACCATGATTAGGACACTGTTTTTGTAATAAATACAAATGATTATTATAAGACATATTTGAAACATATATACTAAAATAATTTTAAGGAAACAACTCACAAAAAACTCATCAAGGTCATCAATAAACTTTTCCAAGCAATGTAGTAAGCTGCCTATCTTGTGGTGAGATGTGATAACCTGGAACTCATATCCCCAAACATTGTGTATTACGTAGAACATGTAATATAACCAAAAAGCTTTTTTCTCCTGTTTACGAATACATATTTTAGAAATTTTCTTTAACAAATATAAAAAATAATACTAAAGCTAAGTTGTTACCTCGTCTCAACAAACAAATGTTCTTCTACTATGAGTGAAAAGAGATTCAACAAGGCTATTAAATCCAATGATCCACACAGATTTTTTCAATTTGAAAATAAGCCTGCATAACAAAACAAATAGAAAGATCAAATTGTTAAAAATTATTATTGAAAGAATAAATAAAATGATAAAATTACCTGAACAAACGAATTGGAACTCTGAGAATTCTCGGAAGTAATGGGAATTACACTTTTCTTTATGGGGAGAAGGCAAACAACTTAATCAACCTATCTATCAGAAACAAACACTTGTGGTCGGAAACGCTGTTTAATTTCCATGCAAATTTCATCTATATCTTCTTTTTCCACTTTGCAAATTCCTTGAATAAATACCTATACAAAATTAAACTGATTATTTTGAAAAAAACTGTTGACAATCTCTAAACAAATATTGTGACACGATTTATTAGTATATATCTCGACATGCGTAGGAATATTTTCCTTCTTACATTTTCAAATGTGATTAGTTCAAATGACAAATTGTAAATATATAATTATAATTTGTAAGTGGATTACATTTGAACGACTATCTTTTATAAAATTTGTCATATTATTTAGATAATTCCACTTTCTCATAGATGAGATTCTGTTGATGATCCCGTAGATGTATTTCAAGCATGTCACTGCTATCATTGTTTGGAGTTAAAGATCGTAAGTATTAATAGAATGACTCTTAATCTCTTGTCGAAGATTTTGAATGAGATTAATACTTTTATTAACCTTATTCAAAATCTTCGATAAGAGATTAAGAGTCATTCTATTAATATTTATAATCTTTAACTCCAAACGATGAGAGCAGTGACATGCTTGAACTGCATCGGGATCATCAACAGGATCTCATCTATGAGAAATTGGAATCATCTAAATAATTTATCCTTTAAGATACGACAAATTTTATAAAAGATAGTCGTTCAAAGGTAATCCACTTAAAAATTATAATTATATATTTACAATTTGTGATTTGAATTAGTCACATTTGGAAAAGAGCAAAGAAAAATATTCCTACGCATGCCGAGATATATACTAATAAAGCGTGTCACAATACTTGTTTAGAAATTGTCAACAGTGTTTTTCGAAATAATCAGTTTAATTTTGTATAAGTATTCATTCAAGGAATTTGCAACTATGGAAAAAAAGATATAGATGAAATTTGCATAGAAATTAAACAGCGTTTCCGACAACAAGAAGTGTCTGTTTTTGATAGATATGTTGATCAAGTTGTTTGCCTTTCACCATAACAAAAAGTGTAATTTCCATTACTTCCGAGAATTCTCAGTGCTACAATTCGTTTGTTCAGGTAATTTTATCATTCTATTTATTCCTTCAACAATAATTTTTAACAATTTGATCTTTCTATTTCTATTTGTTTTGTTACGCAGACTTATTTTTAACTTGAAAAAAATATGTGCGGATCATTGGATTTAATAGACTTATTGAAAAGAAGAACATTTTTTTTGTTGAGATGAGATAACAACTTAGCTTTAATATTATTTTTTGGTGTCATGACAAAATCTGTAGATAGAGTTGATGATCCCGTAAATGCAGTTCAAGCATGTCACTGCTCTCGTCAATCTCAAGGTATCCTCTTTTATAACTTGTTAAAATAAGCCTGGGTCAGAACAAAAAAAGAATTAAAATAGATCAATTCAAAAAATAATTTACATTAACATGACACTCATTATCCACTGTAAAGAAAGTATTAACCTCCTTCAAAATCTTCGACAAGAGATTAAAAGTCATTCTATTAATACTTACCATCTTTAACTCCGAATTACCATCTACAAATTGGAGTTCTGTGTTTATTTGGACCTGTCTAGCCTGCACACATAGACACAACTGCATATATAGAGGCAAACACAAACTCTAAAAAACTAGAGACAACTCTTTAGGCTTAATTTTTGCATACTGTTAGACCACTTATCAGAAGACACTGTATGAGAAAAGGCAAGAAGCTATATTAGAAGATCTCTTATTGATCAGTTTTATAAACATACACCAATATATACACCTAAGAGCCCTTGGATATATAAGTGAAAAGAGGAAGAGGACTGAATATGTATAGCTCAGCAAGATTGTCATGTAGTTACAAATTTGTTATATATAATAACCTACTCTTATTGCATTATTGTTCTATTAATTATTCTGAAAATGTATCAACAGGTCCTTGTTTCTATTAAGTATATCTTTGAACGGAAGCACTTTATAATGGATAAATTGCAAAGTGGTGGTAATTTGACTATATAAGATTAGCTTAAAAAAAGTTAATTTTAAAAATATACATAAATGGCTTACCTTAGTCATGACACCAAACAATGACACCAAACAACTTGTCTTCGAGCATGTTAACCCAAAATTGAGATAACCCCCGGTGTTTTAGCTCTATTCGGTGTAACCTGCTTAAATTGGATCCCAATGTATAAGACAGCACTACGAACGAACTCTTGAAGAAGAGTTATCGCTTGTCCCAGAACTCAATCCTTCTGTTCTCAAATATAAGTGTGGGAAAAATGTTTCTTTCTTTAAGAACTCATTTCTATTAGGAATTTTCAGTGATTCGTTGACCTCAGATGTTTTCCATAACTTCGATTATGTTGGTATCTAAATCTTGTATGGAATATGCTGTGTTAAACCAGGGAACATGCTTGGTATCTGACAAAAAATGCAACAAGGAATAGGTCAATAATCTATGAAACAATAAATAAAAACTGTGAAGTGAAATCACAAATAAAGAGAGATTGTGCAAAATTACAGATCTAATAGGGAATGTCTCTATCAAATGTTGAACTATCTCTTTCTTCTGGTTTTGAACTTATTCCCTGAATTCCCTTCTTATTTTTCCTTTTCTGTTTGGACTATGAAAAAGTGTGTCTACTCTCTTTCATTTAGGAGTATGGTTGTATGGAATTTGGTAAGGGAAGATGTAATTCTAGGTTAGAAGGGAGATGAAGGGATATGGTTAGTGGATTACACGAGGTAGGAGGAGATAGAGATTACTTTTTGTTTTTCAAATTATTGATTAGGCTAAAAAAAATTGAGGTAGGGCAGGGAATCACGAGAGAATCTGAAACTTTGATGAATGAATAAAAAAAAATTTCTTTTGAAAATGGCAAAATCAATAAAACAAAACAAGGCATGCCGATACAATAAGTTGAAATTATCAGCACCCCTTTACAAAATAAAACCAATTCTACTCCCTGCAAACTATAGAATAGAATACAGGAACCTTAACGAAGAAAACAAAAGAAAAAACAAGCAGACTCAGCGACTTTCCCGCCCTGCTGCACCGATAAAACAGTTACACGGAACCACCCTAACGGACGAAAATTAGTGCCTCCAATCTGTTACCCGATTAAAATCAACAAGCAGACACCCACCCCTTCAAGAACAAACACACAACCCTTCAACAATAAGACAATCTGCTCTCCAATTACAATATCAGAACTACATCCAAAAGCACAACGGCATGTTACAGAGCCAGCAAAAAGACCAAAACATACACCAATTCAATTATGTAATTGCTGATTGCTCAATTCAGTTATGAAAACGCTCGGTTAATTATGCAGCACCCCAATGATCCCTACTACCTACTCCTAAGAATCTGTCAGATTGTCTTACCAACTCTGGACCCCAATGATCCCTACTACCTACTCCTAAGAATCTGTCAGATTGTCTTACCAACTCTGGACCCTTTAAGATAAAAATTCCCTTAAAAATATTAATAAGCACATATTAATGACCATATTATTGTCAACTATGTATGCAACTATAAGTGTACAAGAATAAAAAAGAAATGGAATGGAATGTTATTAGACCGGCAAAGGATCCAAACCAATCCTTTCAAAAACAATTTGGATAGTATAAGAAACTTACCTCTCTAGAGCATTTTTCAAAAATTCACCATTAATATCGAAACTAAAGACAGTCTGCTCAACGCCCGTAAATGCCATAGTTGAGCCACCATGTGTCCGAACGTAGCGATCAAACTATAATTTAAATGTTTCAAGCCGGATTAGTTAGGCACAAATTAGAAGTAAACATTTGTCAAAATTAAAAATTGAAACAAAGAAATTAATTATTAAAAACATATACCGCTTCATTTTTGGAAAAATGCCGGCTCTCTTCGAAAAACATGTGCTCTGTATATAATTATTTAGATGTGAAATGATAAGTGATAAAATTTTAAAAAATAAACTTCAATTTAATATGATTTCAACCTAATAAATGGGGTAGCCCTTGAAATTTCCGAGGAGAATCCAGGGAACCTATACCCACTATGATTGCTGCAGCAGACTACAGTAAAAAATAATGGAATTAGTAGTGAAAGTGAAGATATCATCTTTGAGTAATATTTTTAAAATGAAAACAGGATATGCAATCAAACAAATAAAAATAAAAATAAAAGAAAGATCACTAAAAAAAGCATAGATACCATATTAAGATTTGCTTTGATGTGAGGGTCTTGAACCAATAGTACTTGTAAGCCATTATTAAGTTGTAATAGGCGGTAATCTTGTACACCAAGGGCAGACTTAACCACAACGTCTTTCATAATTTCTATTGAAATGAACAAAACAATAGAGATTCAGTAAATTGTAATATTTGCCATCCACTTTTACATAGTGATTTGCAGTGACTCAAAAATGATTCTACACAACAAAAAAAAATTCTAGGTACAATAATAGCAACACATTGTATCTATGATCCTATTAAAGAAAACCTAAATATATATAGTATCTAGATGATTTTGCTTTAAACATCTATTTGATAAATGTCAATTGCAAAAAGTTGGACAATTTCAAGTTAGAATATTGACTCAAAGTCCTTCAAATTAGAGCAATTGCATAAACCTTTGACTTTATT